ATGTATATATTAGTGAGAGTACTTTATTTGAAAAAATAAATGCATATTACTGAAAATACAAAGTTAAGAAGCTCAGTTTACTATGATTACGACGAATTTTAATGTACAAATTTATAATATATAAGTAGATATTTATTAACAGGATGAAAGTATTGAATAATACGTTTGTGAAGAATTATAAAGTATTGTAATTTTTTTTTTTTTTTTAAGCAGTCGAGCATATTAAATCTCAAATGGATTTTCTGATTTTCAGATAATCGAATTAGCTATACTTACAGTAAGAATGTATGTTGTAGATTAACTGTCGAAGCATATAAAAAATTACTTATTATAAATTATGTAAATTTGTCCGACACGTTTGCCTTTAAGAATTATTAGCTGTTTACGTATATTTTATAAAAATCATTAATGTCTATTAAATAATATAATAAGCTATTTATGTAAACGAAATAAAAAAAAAAATAAAATAAAATTGTCATAACATTAATAACAAACGAGTGATAAAATTAACGCTATAGAAAAACAAACAGCAACAAATGACGTTTTACAAAGCCTACAAAACGCATATATTACAATCCTGTTTTGTATATTTTATTGCTTTTACAATAGTAAATATTTAAACGAATAAGATATTAAATGATTATTACAATTTTAATGGCTTAATTTCTTTTCTTATGACACTTACATAAATGTCGTGTAAATGTATTATAACAATTTTATCTTGTTAGAGAATAGGTCTGCATGAGTCTGTAATAAAATAAAAATAAATTCAATTCAATCGGAACAGGTGTAAATAATTTTTATATATACATAAACACGTAATGAATGGTACATTGGACATGTAAATGCATCTTATTATTATGCCTCGTATGCTTGAATCTAAAATACTAAACCATTTATATCTGAAATTATTTCTCTACTTTTTATTCATAGGAAATTAATTAATGATTGAATAAACAATAAATCCTCTCGATCGTATACATAAAATGGTAAAAGTCTTGTAAGAGTAATCAGATGTAATAATACTTGTATCTTGCATTTATTATGCGTTTTTACAAATATATTCACAAATACACACAAATAATATAATTTCCCCTTAAATTCCGTAATACATTGAAACTTGAGAGACTTTTCTATTAAGCCCAAATAATATATTACTATTGTAAAAATTTTCATTTTATAACGCATTATTTTACAACTCCCATAATTGATCAAAATAAAATAATAAAGTTTATGTTTAAAATGTATTATAAACAAATATAATTTTTGAAAATTGATCGATAGACGCTTTGCCTTGCTAACATATGTCAATTTAATTCTATTCTAATAAATTTATCTAGTCTTACGAGCAATTCAGCAATTATATTCATCCAATTTTGAAATTGTCTTTCAAAATATATTTATTTACTCTACACGTATTTACTGAACGCATAAAGTTATTATTTCTCTAATAACTTCAAGCAAAAGTAGTTTCTAATAGTCTACTTAACCGTACGGCATTATACGAGAATTATAATTTAAATTAAAAATTAATTACTTCTTACAAAAGTTTAATAATAATATGTCTATAAAAATTCATTTAGTATTTTTCGTAACAATGTTGCTTTATTGAAATTCATTCGATAAAGAAAACACTCGATCGATCTCATTGCGATGAAATTCCGATGCAAGAACTGCTGCGGATATAATTTTCGTTTCTTCGACTATTAATATAGAGCTTAAAGATTGTGACATTTATGTCACAACAAGGCATGATATTAGATTGTTAGCAATTAACACTACTTTGGTTATGCATGATGAAAACTTTGCGCTTAATACTTCGTACGTGTATTTGTAACGCAGAAGTGAATCGTTCTCATTGTCGATAGGTAATCTGGAAATTACTTGATATGCTTCTAGTTGGTAATGTATATTGCACGCCAATTGACTTACGAGTATTATTGGCAATTTCGTTAGTATAGACTGTGTGCTTATGTAGTTAGTAATGTATATGCTCTTATTATCGTTATTTTGGATTTCGAATAAATAAAGTTATACGAAACATCTATCGCGGATGATAATAGCTTTCAAGTTCAAGTATCTTCTCTCTTTTTTTCTTTTTTTTTTAAAGACTCTCACGCATAAATAAGAAACTTTTTACTTTAATTCGTATAGATAATGTCGAACACTTGGAATAATATAATAGGTTTCACGATATTACGAGTTGATGATAAAATAATCTGTTAATCGAGCCATTTTTATTTGTTCAACCTATTATCAATATAACTGCAATATCGAACAATATATTAATAAAAATGGTGTTTAGAAAAATTTTTAAATACTAATATATAAATAAACATTATTCCTCGAGATTTATTATGTTAAAAGATAAAATTAATGAATATAAGTGTTGGTGTAGATAGATAGTTTATCAACATTGATGATAATTAATGTTATAACATAAATTCTAGTAATAGAGTAATTTACTGTAACATCTGTAATATCAAATCATAATATAGCATTCTAATTAAAACAATAAAGATAATTCAACATGCCATTGCTTAAATAATTCTTCAAAATATTCTTAATTTTCAAATTAAAAGGAAAAGAAAAGTATTACTATATAACGATTTTTTTAAATATCATGATATTTGCCACGAATATACTTCTATAAAGATCGAAAATTCGGAGTAAAATATTCTGTGAAAAAACTTTTTTTATTTTCCTGTAAGCTTATAAATAACTTAGAAAATATAATAATTTAGTAGACATAATTTTTATAAATTTTTAACAATAATTTAACAATACATATTTAAGATTATTATTATTATAATAATTTTATTTAATTTTATTTCTACGTGCTTATACGTTATTTGTTAAATATTCCTCGATGACATGTATATAATAAAAATTACATTTAATAAAAGATATGTATTACTAAATATAACACATGTATTTAATAAAAATTAAATTATCAATTGTTATTTTTAGAATATTACAAAAATTTACTATATAAAAGTTTTAAAATAGAGTGCAAAATGTGCATATAATAATTTTAATCTTATTTGTACAAATATGCTAATGGACTTTCTAATTCATAAATGTAACACTTGTGATGTATTTAAATAATATTTATTATCTTAGAGCTAAATTAATTAATAATATATTTACAGTCACATAGTTGGTAAACACTCGACGTTTTATTACTATTAATATATTCGTTTTTCAAATTAAAGATAACTTTAACATTTAATTTTGTTCATTAAAGTATAAACTTTATTACGGAATGTCTAATAATTAATTATAGAAAAATATTTTAATAATATTAAATAATGACAATAGGTACCTCATTATCATAAAAATTATATTGTCAAAATAACAAGAACTTAATAATATCGTTTGAAATATTTGTAAATTGCCGAGTTTTGAATAGTAAAATTTTGATTGTGATAATAAATATATATATATATATATATATATATTTTTTTTTTTTAAATAAAATTAATAAAAGACAAAGTAACATCAATTTAAATTTTACTACTTTTAAAGGGTACAATTAATATAAAATACTTGCAAATTATCTATATAATTAAAGTCATTGAAATCTTTTGCTTTGTATTTTCAGTTGTATTAGGAATAGAAAAAATTTATTATAAATTGTAATTGATTATATATTAATATAGTCTAATTTAATGGTAGCTAAAGTAATTACAACAATAAGGTAAATGACATTGATTAAAGATTACTATTTATGTAATAAAATATTTTTGTAATATTATCGATCGAGCGAACTTTTAAAGACAAGAAGAAATCTATGAAATATTGAGGAATCTGATAAACTATCGAATTTTGGAATTCGTTGGAAATTTGATATAGAATATATTTTATTTGAAAATTTGTGGTTTCTATTTTCTGCGATATTGAAAATTGTCTTATTTACAAATGCTTTGTTTATAGCTCAGTCCATAAATTGAACTATTCTTTTAACGTGAACAGACAAGTTTATTTAATACAAAGTAATTTCGACAAAGTATAAAATAATTTAATGACTTTTGAGTAATAAAATAGATTGAAGTAAATAAATGCTATTTCATATAAGAAAATAGAGGAAGACTGACGCGTACAATTTCAACGAAATATCACATATTTACGACTATTTATTAACCAACAAAATAGTAATCCATCTTCGGCAATACATTTAACTGAAATTATTTTGACAAAAGCCTGATAATTTATACTAAAAGACTCTTAATTTTTATCTACGTAATTGACGTATTTAAAATATACATATTTAATTTAGAGACAGAAGAAATGATAACAATTTGCATTGCTTTTTAATATGTTTCAATTATTATTATTATTTGTTTATTTATTCTATAACAAATTAAAATGTGACATTTTTAGTGATTGCGGATATTATTGCTGTGAATTACTTTATGAAGACGCTGCTGGCATTATCACAAGTACTGACAGTAAATAATATAGACGATAAAGTAAATGAGCAAAAGACGTGAAAGATTAAAATTTAAATAAACTTTTGAAGAGCTATTATAATTAATGTACTACAATATATTTTTGGCTATATTTATCAAATCAAGCAATCTCACATTCTATTAATGATGTAATTCTATTACAGTTCTGCATTCGCTTAAACAATTATTCGATAAACTGTTTATACTGTTTATACTGTTTATTACTTGTCTTATATATGTTTTTTTTTTTTTTTTTTTTTTTTTTTTTTTTTTGTTAAAACCTCTCAATTCTCATACAGTATGGATAATAAATGCATAATAATAATAAGCAACTCAATAATAATTTCGTTTTCTCAAGCACCTGAAAATTTAATCAATTGTTATTGTTAAGTAAATAATGTTATTGATAGATTGTACATTTGTTTCATTAATTAAAAACAATCATAATTGTATGTTCATAATTTAATAAGAAATGAAATGTGTATTGTAATTAAATACATACATCTATTTAAATTATGATTTCTTTGTAATTTATGATTAGTATTTAACATGTACTTTATTTTTATTTCAGCTGAGTCGAGTAAATTGAGACATTCCAGGTATTCAGACATACAAGTGCAATTCCGAACTGAGGACGATTTCCTCGTAAGTAATACATTTAAATATAATACTTTTCATTTGAAAGATTATTTTTACGAATAGTTTTTAACTACATTTTTTAAATAGTTGGAGCACTTAGTAAATTTAATTCACTACATTATTAAACTAACTGAATGTCGTTTAGAATAGAACCCAAACAGTTTTAGAAAATATTAAATATGAAAAAAAAAATTTTTTTTCACGTTATAATATAATAAATTAATTTTACTTTTAAAATTAATTTAAAAATACAAAATAATTAATTAAATTGATAATATTTGATCAAAATAATGAATTTTTCGGTAAGATTTAAAATCGACGAATATATTAAATTCAATTTAAATTTGCGTATTCAAATATGTGAAAGTTTGTTAATTGAAATTCTTATCATACATAATATTAAATATCTTTGGTTGTAGTAGAATTTTTTTAAAATAAGAACTTAAAGTTTGTTATTAAATGGCGCTAAACTTTTAATTCATATTATATACATGTAAAATATTAAATCTTGAAATAAAACTAATAGTTATTATTCAATTATATTAAAGATAACAATAGCAATATCCTTAAATTAAACCAAAAACAAAAACAAAAACAAAAACAATAACAAAAAAGAAAAAAAAAAGAACTTTGCATAAAATTTTTGTCTTTTTACTAATCAATATACGCTGAACTCGGTCGCTCTTCTTAATATTTCTCTGCACGTATAATTAGTTTTTATCTATACTATTTTCCCAACAAAAAAAAATCTTATTATAATCCGTAATTCTGATTAATCAATTTGAACTGGCTTATTATACATTTTCCCATATATCGCATATTCTTTCGCATCTTCATTTGTATTCATTTGATTTTCAGTTGCAGCAACGCGAGAAGCACAATCACAAGCCCGTCTTTTCGAATTGTTCGCGTTATGCTCCGGTTATTAAGGAGGAAGAAATGCCGGGCACTAAGGTTATTCAAGTACATGCCGAGGATCGAGATCCTCCCGAGGAAGGAGGTAACGAAGCAATTTTTTATTTTATTGTTTTTCTACCTATTTTGACCGCGATAAGTGCGCATAGCACTTAGGATAACGAGTTTTCCACCAGTGCATCTATTTAGAAAATCTTAAGAAAGCCGCCAATATTTATTTTCACTCTTGTTGATGTGTATACACATACAGACAAACGCACGCACACTCGTTTACGTGAAATATTATAAAGATATGAATTTAGTGCTTGAAGTTATTGCTGTACGATGTTGTAATATTTCTTTTTTATTAGGAAAATTTTTAGAATTACTAATGCACGTAGTAAATTTTGACTTTCGAAATCAATCAGATATAACCTAATACTGTAAGTGTACAAATGTTTGGTAATATGCTGAAGTTTTGAAGAGAATTTAGTATTGAAGATATAGTAACACAATGATACTAAAAACATACGAGTCCATCCATTTGTATTATATATATATATATATATATATATATATTTTTACTAGAACCTTTTTAATAAATTCATTTCTTTTAGGAGTACAACATCTAATCGATAGTCAGATTATTGAGAAAAAAAAATATGTATAATGATTTAGCATCTAAATCCAAATATTTCGTAAATTGTATAGCTAATAGTAGGAAAACAATACACATAACAACTAAAAACGATAATTAAAATAATGTCTACCATACTGAAAATTATAAAATTAACTAATAAATTTATAAAAAAAAAGAAAGTAAAAAGTATTATTAAATTATATTTAATCCGTATAAAATGCAATATTTCACTTAAAATATTATCCCTTTTTTATTTTATTTGCAAAAAAAAAAATATATATATATATATATATATATAGTCTGCATAACTGTCGTCGAAACATAATAAAAATAAACAGAAAAAATATTTGTGATGTAAAAATTGTTTCCGATAAAATTGATCGAATCAATCATTTCTGCCAATTTGTAATTTTAGCCGTGAGGTGCTTCAACAATAGTCAGACATATTTTCAAATTTACAACGTTATTTTTTATTTAATTTTTTAAAATATCTTTTAAAATAGTATATTGTTCACATCTAAATCAGCGATAATTGCCAGAAACTTAAAATATATTTAATTTGGATTATAAAGAGATACGACATAAACACTCTGCGAGACGTAATTGTAAAATGCGTTTGAAGAACTTTGAAAAAAAAATAGAAAGAAAGAATGTTTCAGAGATGAAAGAAAAAAAAAACAAAACAAAAAAAAAAAGAAAAAAATTAGAAAGAATAACGCGATCACTTTTTGTAAAAAAATATTAGGTAAAATAATACATTCTCATTGATTTTAGCTGCTGAACGGAATGCAGAACATTGGCAGCACTATTCTGTATGTACTCACTTGGAAAAAAAAAATCTGCACTTACTACATACACAAGTATTTTTGTGTAAAATTTTCCAAACAATAACTTGTAAATCGAAAAATTTTGTCCCTCCCAAATATACGTTATTATGTCAGCTGTAAAATTCGCTCCCATCAATAATGTATTTTAGAAATTGAATTATACATGAGAATATACTTTATTATAAGTTAATTAAGCATGGCGAGGTCGATATATTTAGGGTACAACAGATAGGAAGCGAATGGTGAAATTGAGCCAAAGAGGCCGTATATATTGGGAGTTGAAGTTGGCAGGTGATAATAGTGACAAGACAATGTATAGCGACATATGGCGAAAGCCACCAAGGAAGTCATGTGTTGTTGGCTTGACTGAGAAGTTGTCTGTTATTTAATTTGTTTATAATGTATGGAGTCTTTGAGTTATTTGTGTGCTAATTTTGACATCACTCGATATAGCCGATATTTAAAGTATTTGCAAAAGCCGTATTACAATGACCGATTTTACGAATGCGAAAGAGAATGTATTTTGGAAGGAATTCTTTGAGAATCCAAAATATAGTGTCAACGTATAGACAACCGTGTGCAGTATAATAAAAATAGAATGCATTTACTTGTTGAATTATTGACATTTATGAAAATGCCATGGTCCTATGATTAATGGGCCCATTTAATATATCGTCGTGAGTCGTTGTTGAGGTCATTGACCGAAAAACTGTTGTATAAGTTAGTTGCGTTAATAATTTTTGTTTAGATATACATATGATCTCCTTTAGCTTCGGACCATTGCATTTGCATGAAATTTTTTGGATCGTTGCCTCACGGAATACGATAAATTTGAAATTATCTTATTTATTGTTAGTATGTTTTAAAAGTAGCGTTACTTGAAAAACAGTTGATTCAATGCTCTTTACCAAATAACTTTGTTCGATCGACTTCGGACATCAATTGTAGGGGTTCTTTCCGTTACATTTTAAAGATTCTTGTGTAATTATAAAAAATAAAAAATCTGAATCATAATAAAAAAAAAAAAGAAAAAAAGAAAAAAGTAACGATAACATAAACAATTGTCGATAATAATCAATAATTAATAACTATAATAAATTGATAATAATAATGACGAATTATCAGTTGCCTCTAATGAATAATTAAAAAATATTGATTCTGTTATAAGCTACGCTTTGCAAAAAGTATCAAAGGAATTCTTGAGATTTTCTAGACAAAAAAGAAAAAAAGAAAAATAGAAAGTAATGAAGGAAGAAAGAAGATACATAGTAATAAAATTCTCTAGGTTATCCTAATTCAATTAAAGGTAAAAAATAATAATATATAGTTAACTAACAAAATTGTAAAGCAACTAATCGTACAGCATCGTAGTCAAGTAGTTGCGATGTTTTCAAATATTTCACGTCTCTAAAATCTATGGAATTGCTATTTTTGCAAATTTCCCTTCTCCATAGTAGCTCTTACCGTTGACACATTTACATGATAATTACATCTCCTTAATTTCAAGAGTAACGTCTCGTTCACTTATGAATTACAATGAGTCATCAAAAAAAAAAAGCCACGAAAGAACAACAAGTTTAGAGTTTCGTGTAGTTATGGAAGTAGCCGTAGCTCGTGTCACATATCTGTGTGTGCGCGCGCGCGAGCGTTTCAAACGCCAAGTCAAATAAAAGATAAAAAGATAAAGGAAAACATGATCCATGCTATGGTAAGTTTAACTCCCAAAGTAGCAGAGCGATGCTTTGACCCGACATAACGAAAGCAATTAAATATCACGGTTTATTAATATCGATTAGCCATCATACCGTAGAAAGATCGAAAGATCGAAAGATCGAAAGATCGAAAGACCGTAAGACCGTAAGACCATTAAACACTATTGCCAAAGTCCGGAGCTTTAAAATGTACACAAGAAGCAGGAACTCGCGCATTAACGTCGCTCATAGTAGTCAAAATAAGTAGAGTAACGGGGCACGGAAGAGAAAAA